AAAAAAAAAAAAAAAAAAAGTGGTACACACACCCAAGTAAATAACTATTGCCCTATCAGTAACATTCTTTGGCAGCAGATTGATGGAATGGATGCAATTCTAGGCTGAGTCAGAAGGCCTGGATGTACACATCCTGCCCCTGTTACTAACTTGCTCTTGGGGAAGTGAAATGGGGTAGGGTTGAAGCGACAGGTGAGGCTCCCACAAGTACAAATACAATAATCACAACAGCTGACGTTTATCGAGTATTAATTGTTAGTTTCTCTGCTAATCCCTTCACATGGATTATCTAACTCAATCAAGCAAGTAACCATAGGGGATAAAGGAAAAAAAAAAGAAAAAAGCAAAAAAAAGAATTCAGCGTGTACTTTATACCCACAGCACAGCTCAGCTTTTCTGAGCTCCTCTCGAGTGCTCATCAGCCACATGTGGCCAGTGCCTGCTGTCCTGGATGGTACAGGCCCAATGACTGTACCTCTGGTTGTAAGGTTGGCAGGAGCTGGCAGGAGCCAGCAGGAGCCAGAACAGGAGTTTGTGACAGGCGACAAGGAAACCGCTAACCCTTGCTGATCTGTGTGTCCAGTTTTCTTTCTCCCTTTTTTCAAACTTTTCATTTCTATACATACCCTGCTTATGTATCAAGTTCTTTTCTAATCAGGGATCCTCAAATGACAGGAGGTGACCTCTGATGGTGTTTGTGAGTTTCATAGTCCAGAGCTGTGACCTTAGCCACGGTGGGCAGGAAGGGCGCTGGAGAAGGGTATTAAGGCTGCCAGCTTTGTGGGGGAAATGGCATCTTCTTGGATAAGTGGGGAAGAGTCCCAGGGAAATATGCAACAGCTAGGACGGACATTTTTATAGCCTGTGCTTGGAACATTCTGCCCCTAAAGAATCAGGTGAGCTGGCTCAGAGCAGGGAGCCAACTGCAGAGCCAGGGCTAGAGGGCTTTGAATTTGGAAAGTGAAAAGAATACGGTGGCTTGGGCTTTGGACACAGAGCATCAGAAACTCCAGAGAAATGAGATAAACTGAAAAAAAAAGTGGGTTTGATGTAGACCAAACAGGAACAGTGGAGAACAAGCTGCAAAAGGAGGGGAGGAGAACAGTCAGTGGCTTCCATGGCTTCCCCCAAATGGAGGGAGGTAGGGTCAGCTCAGGGGACAGGCTGGAGGTTTATGATGGAAAGGTAGTGGGGTATGGGTGTGGCCAGGAGAGGAGGCAAAGCTGGGGGCTGCTATGGGACAGAGGGGCAGAGGGAAAGTTCATGCTGCTGATGGGGTCACAAGAGTCACTTGTGGCCTGGGGCCTTGAAGAACCAAGGGAAGCCCTCCCAGAGCCCAGCAACACCTCGAGCAATGCTCACTGCTCCAGCCAGCAAGAATTGGGGTAGCAGCCCCCAGCCTCTCTCCCCATACTAGAGACAGAAGAGAGCTGAAGAAGCCAGAGAGAGGGAGCCAGAGAGAGAATTTTCCATTTCCTTTGACTGTTGCTCTAACTGAGGA